CTCCCCATATAAATGCANGGAATTAAAGCAGTTTCCCCCATGTATTGCTAGAGCTCTAACTTAAATTATAGGCTCCATTTTACCACAGAAAAATATCTTATTGGAAAAGTGGGCGTGGCACCACCTATACATGCTGCATTTTTGACACGGCATATATCTGAAAGTATTTGCGGTGGAGTACTGAAATTCGGTACGGGTGTAGTATATGAAATGAGTTCTATGCTCATATAAAAAAATGAAGGTTATTGGAAAAATGGGCGTGGCGTCTATTCTATCTATACCTATTACTAATATTATAAATGTGAAAGTCTGTATGTTTGTTACTCAATCACTCAAAATGGCTGAACGGATTGGAATATTTGGCCCTAGATGGCTACTGGCTGCACTGACCTTTTCGAAAAAATCGTATATATGTGCCGATTTTCTTGAAATTGCACGTCCTGCCGTGCTTGTCAACCGACTGAATGATTGTTTTACAGTTCGAAAGGTGTTTCAAGGCGCCGCAAAGCAAGCGGGTATTGGCTAGTGTAATAAAGTACTGTAATTATCGGCCGTAAATATAGAGTAAGTATTCCACGGTAGGGCAGTTTCATCCACGCCTGCTTTGGCTTTTAAATTTTGTGATGATGTTTGTCAAGTTAGAAAGTGGTTTTTAACATGGCTTCACTTAAATTTAATTTACTAGTTGAAATATAATTCAATTCAAAATCTGTTCGCTTCCTTAAAAACTACATTAAATTAACTACAATTTTAAGTATTTTAATTTCGGAAAAATTACAACTATCCAGAAAATCCTAACGAATAAATTTGAAAATTCGTTAAAAATAGTACAATGTAGTCACTTTAGGCCGCGTGGGTAACTTTCTGGTTAGTTGTATTAAAAAACTGAGTACGCCATTAGCTTTAGCCGCTTATTGTACATGAGGTTGGATATCTTTTTTTCTTTCTTGTGCAAGATGAATGTTTTTTGATATAAGGACCTAAACCTACAGCAAGCCAGTCTTACTGCCATACCCAAAAAAAAAGCGTTGGGCGGAAAGGTTTCTGACGCCTAGCGTTAGCGCCGAAGCGCCATACCTAACAAAAGCGTCAACGCTACGTCAAATGCAGAAATAACACCAACAATAAGCATAGGTTTGTTTGTGTGTAACACGAAAATGACAGTTTCGCCGTTTTCTGCAGCTAACTTCCATACCTAACGCCCTGTCAAAATCCGGTTTTCCAACCGCTCAGCGTTGACGCCCCGTTGTTTCGGTATGCTTAATACAAATTGTATGGGCATGAGAACTTTTTGATAGCCAGACAACGCACAGTGGTTGCTGCCATAGGCCCATATTAAAGAAATGTATGCAACTTTTTTTTAACCAAAATAGGTTTTGCAACAAGTTTTTTGTCCAAACTTCATGTTGTCATATATTTTTTGTTTTCATTCTAACGGTTGTTGCTGAAAAAAGCAACAAAAGTGCCATCAATTGCTCATTTTATTTGTACAGCGTCCGCACGCTGAAAATTGAATTGGATTTAACTTAATTAAAATATTGTGAAAAGCCGGGTGAATTAAAATTGTATGCAATGGATATTGTACATAAAGGTATTGGCGCGTATTCATAGTCCAGCAACTAAGTCGAAACTAATAAAGTTGCAACTTAAATTTAAGTACCAACTTAAAATTCACTTCTATTCATAGTCGCATTTCAGACTTCCACTAAGTAGTTTTAACTTAGTTTTACGATATTGCAAAACGAGTGTGAAAATGTATCGCTTTTTCTTTACGATATTTTGGGAAAATGACATTTTTATTAAATAATGTCAAGTAAGATCATCCGTTTATGAATTGTTATGTAACTAATTGTTATGTACTAATACGCTTTAAAAGAACAAGCTTGAAATTGACTTATTACACTGTGAGACAAATGGTAGGGTTCAGTGATCGGGAAGGGTTCAAACTACCGCGGAAAGTTATATCGGTAAAAAAGAAGTTATACGTGTCCCGGCGTTTCGCTGGGTCACGTCTAGGAATCGAGATATATCGATTTGAAGTTAGTAGCTATCATATAGGGGAAATTGTCACCTTTTTGTCTTTTTTTTTGACATAACTCGAGAACCACTAGTCCGATTTCGGACTAGTGGTTCTCGAGTTATGTAAAAAAAAGACCACCAAAGGTGACAATTTCCCCTATATATATATATATATATATTTCCTAGACGTGACCCAGCGAAACGCCGGGCCACGTATAACTTGTTTTTGACCGATATAACATTTCCCGTTGGTTTCATCCCATCCCGATTTTGACTGTCGC